GCGGACAAAATCTCCTCGGCGGTTTGGATCGTCCAAATAAACAAGATAGAGGATGCTCCATCCAGTTCCACAAGGTTGTATCAGGTTTTGAACGTAACATTATGTATTTCGTTGCGTTATTGTTGGTTGATGAGTTTGCTTGCGAACGTTGTCGTGCGACACTGGATCCTCACGAAACACTTAAAAGAAAGAGTACAGGGTGGAAACTGAATACCGTTCAAACCGAACCAGTTTGCCCCAGCCGGACACTATCCGGTAGTCAAATCAGTGTACTTCGGTACCACTCACCAGTCAAACCGGAAATCGGTATCTACATTTGTGTACTTAGAGGACCGCATTCACGTGTGGCCTGAGAACTAACCCCAAATAAATCGCGACAAGTTCAGTAAATATAGATTTAATAGGGTTTTCTAACGTTATTTTTTGGCCTTTGTGGTGGTGGAATCACAAACATAGACCAATAAGGATAGGGCGGACAGACACTATCAGGGAGCTCAGTTGGAATGGAGCTTATTAGATTTCCACACAACCTATGACTGCTGTGCTCTGGGACCTGTATATTAGCAAAACACCGTACAAGTCTAGCAAAGGAAAATAAGTCTGGCCCAAAATGTTAAGAAATCTAATACGACTTAATTGTTTAGAAGTATCTGATAAGTACAAAAATCTTACTGTTCTGGCCCGTACGCCTTCCATCTGGGGAATCTTAGGGCTATAAGTCTTCTGACTAAGATTTTTTGAAATTGCACTTGAGGACGTCACGACTTGGGCTCCGAATTCTTTGAGTGCACGTCAGCACCTACTAACTTCATGTTTCTCAGAAACAGAGAAATGCAAACACATAGCATACCCACACGTCCATGGATAACATCCAAGTGGGTAAATCAGGTGACAGTGATCCCAAAGATAGTCGCTTTACACGCCAGCTGTCAGTGATGGCTTCACAGTAAGGTATGAAATTTTCTTCGCGTCCACGCCCCAGAGATAACCATTAAACAAATCATACAATGGATAATTATTCTCCTCTTCTTTGAAGAAAAAATCGCAATATAGGTAGCTCTAATAAACAGATCCAAATATGTTAATCATTGCACACATTGTCTCCGGCGAGATGGGCTCATTCTGTCGTACAACTGGGGGAACAACACGATCCATCACAAATGGTGGACCAAATTTGGCCAAATTCAGAAAACTGACTCATGGTACACCCAGCTGAATTGCTGCTGGCAACAGGTCCGTTGAATGAGCTAAACCATCGGGTTGCAAGTACTTATCCGTCATTCGAGCTTACACCAATTGTATTTTGTTGGTGGGCGCGCATGAGGAAGAGCTATTTATAACATTTACTCAACTGAATTGGTGTTGGGTCATCAGTGTAGTTTGATTTGAGCCTATCGAAGTAGTGGCGGGTGTAAATTTTTACTGGCGCTGTGTCAGGATTGAGTCGTAAAGGTGGAAACCACCAAATCCATTCAGTATATCAACAGTTCAAATGCATTTGAATACCGAGGAAAGAAAGTGATGCTGCAAAACGTGGGCAAGAACATTTTGATTCTGATACATTAGTTGAGATATATCCACAGGTAGATTGGGAATACCCACTTACATTTACAAAAGGAAGTCTAAGGACGACAACACATGAACGTTGACATAACCAAAGGGTATTAGATTTGATGTTACAGGAACCAGAGGCCTGTGATCATTGGATCTTTTGAGGACCGGAAGATGCTTGGGAAAAGAATGGTCACATGCCTGTGATTAATTTTACGCACTTGTGGAAACTAAATATGTTGGTTCGGATTACCATCCTTTCTGTCATGTATTGCTGGGTATGAAACCATACGGGACTTATGTTGGCCGCAGCGCATAACAAGAAAAAGGCATGATCAGTGGATACACGTATGAATTCAGCCCATATCTTTCGAATTGGCCCTGATATATTATACCGAAACCAAGCTCAGGCCATAGTCATCTAATAAGAAAGTTTTGTTTTCTTTTGTAAGCCTGTGCCTATTCGGCAACCATGTATGAGTACTGATGCTTATTAATACATATATTTCTTGATGTTCAGCCTGGAACTGCCTTTCACCGTAATTATGGATTAGTGAGTTATTAAACTGCCACACAATGACACTCACCGTTCGATGCAGCCAGAATTGCAACACAATACCAACATCAACAGAACGTTTTAATAAAGTGGTACCACACGCATGAACCTCAGCGTTTCCGTATATCATAGCAGTCATATAGCACTATCAACAACAAAATCACCAATAAAAGTCTTGAAAATTCTGAAGCCTTCTGGATGAGCGTTGGTGACCGGCATTCGGCGATCATGACCGGCTGTTGGGTCCAGGCGTCCGGCCAATCAAAGCTCACCTTGGTGCCGGACCGGTATGCGGCCCGATCTTATGGCCAGTTGCTTGCGGGATAGTCCTCTCGGATGTAGCAGCGCCTAACTGCAAGCGGTTAATACGCTGAATTCCGCCTAACAGAGCTTCAATCCATTGGGGCATAAGCCGACACTAAAAACAGGCAACGTTTTTTATGTCGAGAGGCATTGAGCTTGATTAAACTGGATAGCCGGAGGGTGCAAAGATGACTGTTCACTGGTATCCGATCCGGCAAAGCGCGTTCAACTCCGGGGCAGACTGAAAACCGCACGTCATTTATCCTCACGAGTCACCGCTTCTGGGTCACAGGACACATGGAGGGACAAATGCGAAGAAGTAGAGTTCGTTCTACGCGTTCTGAGATGCATAACCACGCTTAGGTTTTGCATGCTTGTTTCGGAGACAGCATACATCAAATTTAAGAGTATAAGGTCTCGGTGAGCATTGCCCGTCTGCAGATTCGACATAGAGTATGAAAGTTAAAAGCTCCTAAGTATAAAGGATCTCGAGTTTATTGTCAGAAGGCGGTGGGGTTCATAAGACCCCTCGGTCAGAAAACTGAGTCAAATGACCCAGCAACATTTGCTTGCTTGTTAAGAAGGGGTTGGGTGGGGACACCGGTGGACGCAAAACTGTGTGCAAATGACACTTCCCGGTTGCCCAGACCGATGAAGCATACTTTCTAACACTCCATAGAGGCATTTCTTTTACCTATGGTTCTGAGGTAGAAAACAAAATTTCTTTTTGGAGTTTTGGCCATCTGCTGCGGTCAAAAAGCCATCCTGACCATTTTAGGGTGAGCAATACAGAAGAAAAACACAGTACCGAAGTGGACCCACCTAGGGATCCCTTTCATTGACCCTGTTCTCAGTCGACTTAAAGAGATGTAAAGTGGCCCTGCACGGACCGAAATTCCATCACTTTTGTCAACTAGTCATTGCACCTACGAATCCAACTGCAGTGGTGGGGATTCGTACATTATTAGAACTCCCCGGAGGCTAGGAACGCAAGAGAGCACATGCACAAACGAATTTGTATCGTATAAGTTAATCCTGATTTAATTTGGAAGCAGTCAAAAATATAGTCATCGAGTGGAGACAGGACAGTGCTGAACCTTGATCCTCCTTCTGAGTCAGCACATAGCAGTTGCCCACATAGACTGAAGATGCTCTAGGCAATATTGATTGATGGAAACAGGCCCGTTCTGCGCGCTCAGAAATACCTGACAACCTTGTTTTCATTGATCGGTCCCGTTCCAGTTTAGTTCCATATACATGCTGCAACTAGCTCCGCAATTTGTTTCCGCTTAAACGTGTCGCAACAGACGAGATGGTAAGGAGTGAATGGAGAGTTGTTCTTAGTGCCTTGTTCAGACTGATTTGCGGGTCAGTATGTTTTAAAATGAGACTAATCGTATGACGCTTTTCTTTCTGGAACTTCCCCACTCTAGCTTGTTCGACTAATATAGCTGGACGAATATTAAGGGATCAGCCAGACATTGCACCAGACTTCAGTGGCACGAAGCCGGAAAATGTGCATACCGACCAGTCCAATTTGGTTTGCGGAAAACTCTTCGTTATACCAGCCCTCCTTGTGTTCTACTCAGTAGCACACCCACAAAGTATTATATTAACCTGTACAGGCTCACATGAAAAAATGGACGTGCCCTGTTTAAACTGCTTATAAATGGCACCGGCAACAAAATTATGGTCAGTACTGCCACCATACAAGCTAAAGTGTATTATCAGTTTTGGGCTTCCCAGTTTTGAGCAACCACGAGTTGATTTTGGCAACCGCCAACAACCCGACTGCACTAACTGGCATCGTGTTTCGCTGCCAGGCAGAACGGGCAAATAATGTTTGAATGGGGCAAGCATTTTACTGCCATATCGTTCAACCACTCGAGCGTTCCAGTTTCAGTCAGCCAGTGTGTTCAACCTGTCATGGAACCGTTCGAATGTCCACCAGCTTTGGTTGATAATATAATAATAATAAGCATTCAGCTGTAACACCGTTTCGGTACATAGCTGCCACACGATCCGAAAGGAAGCAAGGAGAGATACCGCGAGGTTGGCCAAGCTTAAGCAAGAGCGGATTTTCGGGTCAGTAAGTTCGCATATTAAGCATCTCAAGCTTTAGTTGAACCCACCTAACGATCTGTTTGATGTACATCAACATGCGTTCAACGCCCATTGATCTAAATCCCCAGGTAGCCTAAACCAAGAAGCATGATGGGAACATACAAGACCTCTGAACTACAATAATGATTATTAAGGGAAACACAGGGCATGTAGAGGTAGCGTACGCAACTCCGAAACCCTTGGTCATCTCTGATAAAGAGTAGTCGCTACTAATGTCTGTACGATGAACAGTGAGTCACCAACAACTTATCACAGAAGACAGATACGGTTATGTTTCACAAGACAGAATCACCGCAGCTCACGTTATCCTGCGCCAGCCAATTAGTCTACACACACGTTGGGTGAAAGGTTCAGTTAGCCAGATCGGTGAGCATACACTCCAAACATTGGAGCGCAGATTACGACCCAACAGGCTGCAAACCCCGAAACCAGTGAAAAAAATAATTTAAACAAGAAAGACAAGAAGTACCTGTTTTGCATTGCGTCCGATTTTCACCGCACACACAAAAAACAGCGCGAGAAAAAATAACTCATGTGCAACGAGATGGGATGACGCAGCATCCCACAAACGCAGAATTGTTGTACAAAAGAGGTTTGGTACAAAGTTGAGACGCAGATCACAGTCACCAGGACCCAATGAAGACTGGGAGGGGGGAACACAACGGAGAATCATCCACACCTACAGTTTGACCTGGACAGTATTGCGCACAAATAATGGAGATTCACCGTCTGCGTTCGTGCCACAAATAGACAATTAGGGCAAGCAACGCTCCTGCAAGGATTGGTATGGCGTAATAATCCCAATCCATTGTTGTGAGTGCGCCTGGTGTGGTACCAATAACTGGCTGCTGCTGCTGTTGAGAGGGTCCGCTCGATTCGACGGCCATACCAAATATGCGTCCAAAATACTTGCCCTACAACACGAAAATTCGACAGGCATCGGTGGTCAGACAGATCGACGCGCAACACGAGTAGGCCAAAAACGAAATGATTTGAATCAGTGTGAAAATCAATAAGTTCACGTGGACCATACGTTACAAACATGGTGGTGAATGGAACAGTTTCCCCATGCGGTTTCATCCCACCATAACCAGCCATAATCAGTGGGTGGTTTCTGGAAAAACTATCCCTGGAAGTCCCATATATGATGCAGTAGGTAATACCTCATTCGCGACCCGAATAACAAAGAGGAGAAAGTCCATTGACTTCAATGAGTTGTGTAAAGAAGTCAGCTTCATTGTTATACTGCCAGAATAACCCGCGGCGTTGCGAAAAGATACCCCATAGGGGCTGTTGCAGCTACGGGTTAAACCGAAGTAAAAACTAATGCAAACCAATGGAGGAGGGAGTTTGTTCAGTAAATGACTATATTTTAATGTCATAACTGGAAAAAAAGTTCTAAAGCCTACTGATTACAAATTGCAGTTAAACCCGCCAAAGAAGTGAATTTAACTGCAACCAAACTCAGCGAACCAATCACTCTTCCAGATATAAACTGCGTATCAAAACACAGTGATTCCCGCTCCGACAGAAACAGCCACACATTGCAGATGATGACCTAATAAGGCGGTTGAAGTCAAACTACCTGAATTACGGGTTACCTTGTGGGCTATGACTGAGGTCGGATCGTCATTGGCTGTGTGACTGAACCGTGTCTGTTAAGATTACGACTAGCCAGTGGCGTCTGTTGTCTCGGGGTTCCAAGAGACGGCAGCTGAAAATGCGACCGGGCTTACACGACGAACACGATGCTAGACTATTCTCCGCTTTATAATTCGGTCATCTCTTTACTACCACCGATTTCGCAAGCTTTCCCGAAATCGCCGCATTGTATTTTGACCACCTGGTCATACCAGAGATGATCTCGCAAAAGGCTTATGTAGTTTGCGCAAAAAGGCAGCTGGTGTCCGGTCCCATGCCTTTGCTTTTGTGTAATACGCTTGATAGGCATTCAGGGTCATAAGTCCTTGTTACCTACCAAACCAAGCGACCATCTTGTTGCGCAACCACGCTAAAAACTGAAATCTAGACATAAGATTTGTAGTCACCGGAACTTTGGCTATGAGTGCACATCTGTAGACAATTCTAACAATAGTAAAGACTTGAGGAAACGATCGGAATTATTTATATTCTGAAGGTTACCATCCTTTGGAGGGTCCACTGTAAGGCAGTCCTGCGGCTAAAAAGTCCTGAATAATGTCCATGTAGAACACAAGGTTGACGGAAACTCGGGGACTGCGCCTGCCTGATGAACTCCAAGAAAGCCGAAACCGGACTTGGGCTGTCGAAGTTTTCAGCAACCTTGTGAGCAGTTTGCTTTATGAAAATGTCCACGTATATTTTGCTAATAAACAAGAGATATCACCATAGTTGCGGGTGAATTCTCGGATTATGTAATTTTCTGTCCGTAGTCACCTACGGCATGTTGAAATCAGACTGGAAAACTGGACCAGTTGTTAAATTAAGAACAGGCTTTTTTCATGGAGAAAACCACTCACAAAGTTGCTGGAAACTCTTCGGCTAAAACAGTACTTCTGGAACCATCGTTTGGGTTGCTAGAATTGAAGGGCAGTGGATCGAGATGAGAAGGACAACTGTTGCATGCTTTGATAAGCACTCTGCCCATACTTTCGAGCCAGAAGGTGTAACCATCATCATAATCTGCTGTAAGGTGCAGTATCGTAACCCAAGAACACGCATCATTCAGACTGGTATTGGATAGGTTTTAATCACTCTTAGGTGTCGTCACCGCTGAAAACTGGCTGGCTGGAAAGCACAGAATGCCTGCCGAGGCCCAGGATAAAAAGTAGGAATGTCAGTTGTAAATTCCTACTATGACGGAGCAAGTACCGGTAAAACGGGAATCACACAAGTGCCAGGACAATTTGAGGCCGCACTGAAACTGCTACCCGAAAATGAAGAGGCGTTCAGCTGTAACACACTTCCGGTACATGGTTGCCATGCCATCCGAAAGGAAGCACCAGGGATAAGGTGCCACCAAACTGTCCAAGCCAAAAGAACAGTCAAGATGTCAAGGTTGGGTTCAAACCACGAACCATACGGTCAACAATTTCGCGCCTTAACTACCGAGCCATCTCGACATGAAATGAATGAATAACTACAGATAAGCTAGTATAGAATTATTCAAAACTAGCTAAGATGTATGACTGAGTGACAGAACTCGTGCGTTCATATCCAACATGGTTTTCTGTGACTCCAAAACGGGGACCGCATGTAACCTTTGCGATCTCCCACTGAGCGCAATCAGAGATTTCTCACCCAAGAAAACACTGCATTGATATAGTTTGATGACAAGCCTCATCATACTTACCAAAGTTGATGCACGCAAATACTCGGACCAAAATGAGACTGATAACTTCAGCAAGGCCAATGCGACCGGAACTTTAGCGTCCAACGAGGCCTCCGTCGCCAAATCATAATAACGTTTTGCCAGATGAATATCCTTGGGAAAGATAGGTAAAATCCTTGGTGAGTGTGACTGAACCGACTAGATTGAATATTAATAAAGCCTAAAGTAGCTATGTCTTACAGGGTAGCTCGATTCTACATTTTAAGAGTTGGGACCTACTCTTCTATGGAGCAAAGTATGCTAACAGCAGAAACTCTAGATCAAAGACCACGTGATTACTTACGTTGGATAAAATACTTACGTTAGAGAGACCAGACCACAAACTTTGGTAAAACAGTGATCGAACTCACCCGTTTCAAACCCAGTCCTTGTTCATGCATATAGGCTAAGTTGAACATGGCCTGAGAATTTTGATGCAGCTCTGAAGCGATCCGATAGTGCTGGACAGCCTTCATATAATCCACCTCAGTACCCCATCCGTAGTAGTAATAGTCACCCAGTTTGACACGCGAACTGGCCACACCTGTCAATGTTGGAGAGACAGAAGTCATCGCATTGGTGAAATGGCGGAAGCATATTCGAAGATTATAATATGTAAAAAAAAATCGTTCAGCTGTAGCAATCTTCCGGTGCCATGCCACCCGAAGGTTGCACGAGGGCTGGGATACTGCAAGATTGCCCAAGCCTAGACATGGGAAGTCGAGAGGCAGAGGTCGGGTTCGAACCACAGACCTTCCGGTCAGTAAATTCGTGCTCCAACCACTTGGGCCATCTCATCACAGGAATAATATGTAGTGGTCATGGTTTTGATTATGGATGGTGGTACCGGTTGAAGGCTGTGTGCGTTCGATATTGCTAATCAGTTGGATGCCAAATCAAAGTAAGCCATAAGTACTGCATTTAAAGCAAGTTTTCATCGAGATTAAAAGCGATGAGGTAATTGTTCGTATACTTTAATACGGTCTAACAGATAGTTCGAACTTAGACCGCTGGGGGTAGTTAAAAAGCACAACTGATGGTCCCAGATGAAATGTCTTACCTTGCAAAGCTGAACGTCGCCACTGAACAATCGCCCGTGATTGGAACTCTTCCTTATCAACCACAGTGATTTTTCCTGATACAACAAAGGCAATCACAGAAAACAGGTGAAGTGAAATACAGAAACCTACATGGTAAACTAGTTTCATCTTTACGTTACTGGGGTGAGTTGAGAAGCTTTTTTCCCACTTTCCGAGCGGACGGAGGTGATTAGAAAAAGCGGAAAAACCACCTTCAGACCAAACGGTATCATTAATGAAAATTCACAGGCATTCAAAAATAGTGTTCTCTGAATCTCACGTTTACTTGGATAGCACGTGCGAAACAGTGATTTAGTTAAAGTCTGTGGAGATAGGGTCCAATTAGGATAAAGCGAACGCCCCAAATCCGGGGACTTGACTTGCCTAATAAGCCCGAAAGAGAAATCGGTAGTGGCCTGCGGGCGGTCACCGATCAGTGTTGCTGCACGAACAAATAGGAACAATGCTTCGATATTTTGCATGAATTCCTAAGCGAAACATGAAAGCAGTCTTTGTGCTGCACAGGCAATAAAAAATACCGTAGAAGAGGGATGCACTCGAGGCTTGCCTGAGTCTCGCATACACACGGAGTATCCATTTATTCAACTTCAAGAACAGTAGAAAGCCGACGTGTTCGACAAAATCCTAGGACCAGTTTATCGGATCGAGGAAAGTAACAATATTGATTGATTCAACGGGGTATTTAGGTCCGAAACGGCGAGAAAGTGGTTGCGATGAATGCATTCTTTGTGGCAAGTGTGATGCGGAGTACGTGCGGCGTGATTAACATAATGAAGATGGTTGATGGAAAGCTGGTTCATAATACTTTTTATTTGAAAAAAAAAACGACATCGTCAATGTTCAAAGTCCACTCTAGAGCATTAGACACCTCACATAACAACGTACTGCTCGACTGACGTGCTCAAAGGAAGGCCGAATACCGAGACAAAATGAACGCCTACACATCTCGAATAGCAGAAAATCAACAACGCTTCTACTTGGCGAAAATCAACCACTTTACTTATGGAACAGAACTGGCACTATATGACAGTGTTCCTTCACAATAAGGCTAATGTCATGTTGTCGATGATGACGATGGAAGCAGCGCCTCCCAGGGACAGAAGTCTCAAAGCGACATGGAAGGCCCATTTTGCGGTTGGAAACAGGAGGATACACTTTTGAGAACGGCTCCTCAGTTTAAAAGCAGAGACCACAAACAAAATCTACGCACTCGTCGGCTATTGCTGCTTTGTATTTTACTCATGTCAAACAATATACCTCATCCTTTTACTTACCTTCTTCCAACATGAAAGCCACGTTGCTCTGTGCCACCTCATAGCCGAGCTCTGCCAAAAGCTGGTAGGTAACGAAAGCCTCATCGTACCGTCGCGCCCGATAGGCAGAATGTGCATACATAAACCATTTGGACCAGCGACCACGTTCAGCCACGTTTTTAAAAAGCTGAAGCGAATGAATAAAAATAAAAAAGGAAATAATCGATAACGAACTGGCCTGAACGAACAAAGTAGAGATATAAAACGAATGTCGAATAGACTACGAGTGGCTAAGGACAAATTTGATAAGAACAGCTGTGCGAGCCTAGATAAACTAAGGCCCTAATGATGACAAGGACAGATATAAGCACCCTGGCTAATGCGTGTACACATTGCCGTGGTTCACATAGTGATTTGAACATCCGCTTGACAAGCTACGGAAGACCCATGCAACGGAGAGTTCTCCGTCCCAGTTTCCCTTACTAGGCCTGTATGCCTGTCAGCTAAACCCACCGAAATCCAGTGAGGTTAAATTGGAAATGCGACGTTTACGATTGAATCGTAAACATTGTGCGGATGGGTCTTTCAAGTGACATGGTTATGACTCAGGCAGACTCAAAAGACGCCAGTTACAGTACAGTTATGTTGAAAGTGCATGCTACTAGAGATCTATCTGCCAAAAGCTTGTAAACACAGTGTCCAAACGGACTGTGGAGTTAAACATAATGTATTAATGTCGAATTCACATCTATACTTTCTCAGATACGCCATATCGAATAACTTTAGTAGGGCACAAATTACAAACCAATCAAACAGTTGCAATGGTCAAAAAAGGAATGTAGGCAGCGGTTCACGGTTTCTCTTTAACTATCGGATTTACTGGAATTCCCTTCCACAACTTTATAATCACATAAAATAAAAAAGCTACACAGGAAACCTGTCGGACGAACCTCAGCAGCGGTTGTGCATGACCGCAACACTCCCAGACCCGTGGCATGCATTTCACCGAGGTAAAAGAAGGCCAGTACATTTCCCTGTTGTGAAGCCATCGTGAAATATTTGACGGCTAATTTGTAATCAGCCTTGGCACCGAGTGTACCTGAAAGGAATCAGGGAATATGAAGGACGAAGAGAATTGACGGACACACCAAAGTTTAAATAGCTGTAATCAACAACCTAAGTGGCTCTTGGAATCGACTGTTTTTTAAACACTTTCCATGTGAACACAAACGCGACGAAAGACACCAGAACAAAGATGGTTTTCTGTGATAAATACATCAGTAGTCAAGTGCACCACAAGTTACCCAAAAACATTCACGAATAAGTGGAGTTAAAGTGGGACAATGAAGCCAGAGAGGCAACTCAGTGAAACGGGTCATCTTACTGCCAAATTCGTGAGTGTGGCTGAATTGATTGTGGGTCAACACAAGTTCAAGATTCGTATGGTGGTTCGCCTCGACCAAGTGTGCTGAGCGCCACATCTGGGATTCTTTGATTCATGACCCAGTGAGATATGGTTGTGTTCACGGGTTATTCTAGACGAATGTCTCATTGTTTATACGGTGCTCGAGACAAGCATACAAATGAGTACACAGAATCTGGTTAGTTTGTCTTCCAGTAGGAAAGTTGCCACCTAGACAAGTCGTTTTAGTTGGAAGGTTCAGAAAGCGCCTTCAGTCCTGATTTCACGGGCCGTAGAGTTTCAATAAGGAAACATTGCACAGCCACAAACGGTAAGACTTGCGCCATAGATTTTATTTGGTTTTGTAAACATTCATCGAGATGTATCTTCACGGTCCAGTCAGTCAGACATCGCATTAATTTTAGAGGTACAGCTGGGGTTCAGATCACAATATTATGGTAACAATAATAACAATATAATTGTCCAGGTGTAAAACTTTTTTCAGTGTGTGGTTGCCATGCATGAGGGCTGACGGAGCACAGGGACTCAGACACTGTCAGGTCGCCCAAGCTTAGAGAGGAGAAGTCCAGGTGCCGGGATTGGGTTCAAACTCAGGGACCTTTCAGTCAGAAAGTTCACGCCTTAAGCATTGAGCTACCTCGACCTCATTCGAACGAGTCGCCCATTAACGCAAACTTCATTGGCTGGTTGGTTTCTGTTGGAGTTGAACAAAACAATTAAAGCGAATGTACTGTTCTGCCCAGGTTTGTTTTCTGTATATTTTGCGCTGGATACTTTCGTCCGTTTTCCTACCGATATAAACACAGAGGAAATTTACTTCTATTCAAGTTACCAAAAAGGCCTCACGGGAGGTCTCGAGTTAGTATTACCTTCTGCAATCACGAGGATATCGTCTACGTATCGATAAAAGTGGGGACCGTTCAATTAATGAACGGCCAAGTTTCAACTGCACTTGAAGAAATGTGCGATGAGGGGACCGAACCGGAATCCAGTCGCGACGCCATTCTTCTGTTGGTACATTTATTTGTTGAAGCCCGTTGACGCCGTACCAAGCGAACAATAAGGGAAAGGAGACTACTCACAAGGTTGCTGAAAACTGTTCGACAGCCCACTACCCGTTTACCCCTTCTTGGGGCTAATCAGGTACGCGCAGTTCCCAAGTTTCCGTCAACCTTATGTTCTACTTGAACCCAGATTGAGCCGATTTTGACAAATGCACTCATTTGTATATCAATTTAGTTTTCACGGGAGAGTCAACTGAATCTCTCGTTTAGGATATTCTTCAGTGAATGTACCGCACAAAGGCCGCCTCATTTTCCAGTTGGTACGATATTCTAAAAATTGCAGCATATTTTCATAGAGAAAACTATTCACAAAGTTTCTGACAACTCTTCCGAAGCCCACGACCGGTTATAAGTCGAATGTGGGAATAGTCTTCATCTAACTCTCAAAATTGGTCATAAATTGATGGATATATGTTCCAACAAGGGCATTTTGCCCAAGAAATTTGTCGTCGGACATTTCACCATGAGGAATGAAAAGGAAAACAAACATTTTGCTGCGATTTTATTGGGCGGGAGATTAGTCCCGATGTCCTACAAAGGATGAAACATTTGAATTTAGGCCAACGAAACCTTAAAACTGTAAACACATTGCATAGAAGTCAAACGTACCCATGAACATGCGTCCCAGAGTCAATTGGGCGTCCGCCCAACCTTGATCTGCTGCCTTAAATAGTAATTCCATGGCTTTTAAAGGGTTTGGAGATAGACCAGCTTTCCCATGCAAGTAAGCCATTGCTAAACCGGTCTGACCAATCGGATTGTCATCTTCGGCTGACTGTCGAAGGTACTTCAGTCCCTTCTCCGGGTCAGCCGGCAATGTATCCGTCCCACTCATGTACATCTACAAAATACAAGAAGGAAATACGGGAACCTGCTGCAGTCAATCAATGGCAAGGATATATCACCACAGCTCAGTGGTCTTGTGTAGGGACAGAACACTGATGGTCACCGAACGGAAGACATTGATACCTCCCACTAACCAAAAATCGGCTGAGTCCACAACAACACAATTGACACACATCAAAAACACCTTGTAATGTCAATTTACGCTGGTGGTAACTCTGTGTTATTACATGCTACACATTGAACCTAAATGTCATACGAAACACTACAGAACTGTCCAGTCACACCAAAGTCTCTTAATGAATGTACGGAAATATAGCTCACCTCACCAAGGTAAGCCTTGGCTAGGGAACTTCCAGCCTCAGAAGCTAGCTTGAAGTAGTAGAAGGCTTTTTCCAAGTTCTTCTCTACACCATGCCGTCCGTAATAGTAAAATTGACCCAAGCCAACCTGTGCGCTTAGATTCTTCTTATCGGCCAGAAATTGATAGTACTGAAACAAATCTTCATTGATTGCCAACCCTCCAAGAGCTTGATCACCATTTCCAGCTCCGAATCCAAACAACATATTGAGCAGTCCGGTGTTCGCGTCGGCTTCATCTAACAGTCGGGCACGTCGAACAATTGGACCAAACAGAGTGGAACCGCTGGTCTCAGCACGCTGGGAAACCTGTGCGGAAACTTTTTTCGCCACACGGTAGTAGTAGGTTAGTGCGGACTCGCAGCTCTCTTCCAAGCCAGTTCCAGTCCAATAGCGGTAAGCCTAGATAAAACGAAAGTAGAGATGCTCGACAAAGATAGACAAAAGGAAGTGGTGCACCTGTTGGGTCGACTACCCAATTCATGGAAAACTTGTGGTCTTCTAAAGCCCAGAATGGTGGATCAACTCATGCCAACTGTCCCTAGCACGGAGTCAAATACATTTTTATGCTGTAGTATACGCTCAGAAATGAGAAGAGTGGAAGAAATGTATGGCCTAGATACGGGATCGTATTACACCAGAGCAATTACACAGAAGCTTTGAGATATTTCAGTCAATCTCTGTTAAAAATAGTAACTTTATATATTTAGATTTGTAGCGAACATATCCTTAAACTGAACCAAATGTCTTGCACGAGGTATGATGTGGAGCCTTGTGTGCTGCCTCTCGTGCGTCAAACTCAAAAACTGGTAGACGTAAGCACACAGCCTCGCGGTTTGATTCAAATACAGACAAGTCGGACGTGTAAATGGTGGAATGAAAACAACTCCGACGTCGAATTACGTGAAAATGTTAGCCGGAGACTTATTTCAAAGAACCGCAAATCTGTTGAGGCGAACAGGTGTCTTAACTAATCACTGACTTACCAGTGCCATTTCGGCTAGATCATCGCCCCCGAGAGCACCAAACGTCAGGTAGATTAGCGCATGAGGAATACTAGCATTGACCAGCAAGCCAGAGGCGTACATCAAACCTAAACCAAATTGTCCTCGCGGATTTCCTTCCTGCGCGAGCTGAGTAAAATCGGCGTGGGCGCGAGGCAGGGATTGAAAGAACCCCCATCCAAGTAGAGTTCCCAGAGCGACCCATTCACGAGCTTGAGTATGCCCTCGCTCGGCCGCCTCGTGCAAAAACTGGAATGCGCTGAAAAGAGGAAGAGTAGAAAAACTGGCATGCTAGCCTGAACGGTATGTTCAAATCTGACTCCGCGATACAGTTCACCTAAAGTTAATCATTTGGGATTGAAAGAACCCCCATCCAAGTAGAGTTCCCAGAGCGACCCATTCACGAGCTTGAGTATGCCCTCGCTCGGCCGCCTCGTGCAAAAACTGGAATGCGCTGAAAAGAGGAAGAGTAGAAAAACTGGCATGCTAGCCTGAACGGTATGTTCAAATCTGACTCCGCGATACAGTTCACCTAAAGTTAATCATTTGGGGATGCAAATTTCGTTGGTTGAAAAAAAAACAGAGCTTGATGTACCGCAGGAACCAATGTGAGCTTCTGATCAGAAATGTAGACACGTCCATTTCTGATCACTCAAACCCACTTTCTGACTGACCCGGCGGTATCTCAGCCCTTGTGTATCAAGAATTTCACAGCCGCTAGGTATCGAAAGTGCGCTACCATTAAACGGCTGTGAAAAACAAGTCCAAGTTGCCTAGACACCTGGACAACTAGTCATTGATTATTTCAGCGATATCGACCCCCCCCCCACCCGCACGAACGTACAGATGCGGCTTTTTCTACCGGGAAACAAGATACATACTCATGTCAGGTTGCATGGCTATGGCGTGTGACTAATGGGCCTAGGCAACTACAGGTCGCCTAGACTTACAAAACAGCGGGCGAACTCGAGACTGCAGCCTCTCCGGTCAGCCACTCGTACCTTGATCTCTGTGTTGGCTACCAGAAACTCAATGAAAGCACTTGCATTAAGGATTTACAAAAAAGCTAAGCATGAAAACAACGGATAGCGAAACATCGGTTGGGGCGGTTCCACACACCGTTTGAAACCCCCTTAAATGTACATCAACGCCACATAAGGCGAACTGCCTGTGTGAATTTCAGTCATCACACGTAAGCAACTACAAATGAATCAACTACAAACACGATGTGAAAATTTGAGCGAATAGGCTAGTCGACATCTTGGCGACAGCAATAGTGCTTCCAGCTCCAACAGCCATGGCAATTGTACTGTATGCAGTTCGTTCTATAGTACAAAGTAATACAATGTGTGAGTGGCTTACCGGCGGAAAGATAACATCAAGTGTTACGTAAGTCGCCGTTTCGATCACCATGGATGACCTTAGTCAGGAGAAGAATAACCACTGAATCACAGAGAAACCGGGACTGATTGGTAACTACCATTGTGCGGACGACCTAGAAATGGGTGCTTGCATGGCAGAAGTGTGATAATCACTTCTGTGGGTTAAAGCAGAGGCCGGATTGATGCCCATAGATCGTGGCCACAAAGTGGATACGGACTGACTGCCATTTCTATTGACACAGGCAGACCGTAAAAATTGCGTTAAATTGCATACGAAATGAACGGAAAGCGTATCTTTTGCAACACAGTTCCAGTTACCAGTTCCTCTCTCCTATGTAGGTAGAAACAAAATCCCCACAACAGGCTTTGCACATAACATAGATTGATGTGGTCTTTAGGATGTATCAGGTGTCTGCTAACGGCATTGTCAATTTTGAGGACTTAACGTATGTTAAATTCCGACGAAATCACACATTCGCTCAACAGTTTGTGGGAGACAGATCTGAACATGTGACAAGATGGTTCGGTGATTTACTTCTTTTCTGGAGTTCATCTTGACTGCGACCGGTCGAGCACCTTCTCGATGGAGGATACCGGATAATGGTTCCTCTGTATCCCTGATATTATTGACATCAGTGGTTTTGAAGGCTTCGTCAGGAGAATTATTTTAGTTCCGTTTAGCAGTGAGCTTACAGCAGTTCGTTTCATGTTCAAAGGATGGCACAGAAAGTAATACATATATCGTCCAGGAGTCAACTTACAGTGAGAAGTAACTTTAAAACCCATTACGTTGGCGCTAACGGGACAGTCCAGAAAACGGAGGGAACGGTCGGCACTATAACTTCACAGAAAACAAAGCAAGTCATCCGAAAACTCTCATCTTAAGGTCAAATTCTGGATATGAACCCCTAGCGAAAGGTAAGGCGAACGTATTACCTGCAAAAGGACGGCTAACCAGACTGGCTCACCTTGACTGCTAACGGCATCTGGTCATAAGACCTATCAAAGAACCATAATTAAGGGACTTCACTAACAACGGTGGACCAGACAATCGCGCTAACAAATTCGAACAATTCCTAAACCGAATTAAACAGTCACTCCAGGGTGACCTGGTAGGCGACGTGTTGCGGGTCAGAGAACACAAGAGACGATTTCCGCTCGAAAATCCGTCGCAATTCAAAGACTGAAAAAGAGAGTCGGCCATTGCTTCGCACACCTTGGGGGAAAAACGAAATATTCTACTTGACTGGTCTCATCCAATTCATCAAGTCCTGACAACACATACAGAGCCGTGCTGTGTAGAGGCTTTGGCATTTTATACAACTTGCCTGTGCCAATCGCAATGACGGTCACCCGGTTTCCATTATGTGGCCACGGCTTATGGGCATCAGTCCGGCCTCATCAATTATCATTTATTTTTGAAGAGCATGGTCACAAACATAAAAAGTGAGTGCAAGCGATGAATGCGAAAGAGTAACAGGAGAATATGGGAGAAAAGAGAGAAACGTCTCATTCGAAATCATGCCAAGGACAGTGCCAGTCTGATGAGGTGAATCCCAAAGTATGTAAAGATTTTGGT